TTCACGGGAAGGACGATCGAGAGAACTTGATCGATCGTTCAATATACGTTCGCGCTCGGTTTTCGCGCGCAACAACATAGGGGGGATTTATTTATAAATCCGTTTGGGGGAGCGCGCGACGCATTCGGAAATTTAAATCGACGCGGAGCGTTATCTCTAGCAGCGGCAAAACCGTTCCTGCGTAAGGAGCTCGCGCTTCCTCGGGAATTTGCTCGGGGAACGCTCGGGCGAGAATTCCTAGTGGCTGATGGAGAGGATAACTCGTCCCCGAAGTGCAGTAACCTCGGCGAAGAAGTCCCGGGCCCCTTCCTCTCCTGCATCGCGCGCGGAGGCCTTATGACCCGTGCAAAATGAATGCATCCCCCCGCCGGGTGGTTGCATCCTTTTCGCCTCCGTCGAGCCACCCGCTAAATCGAGCGTGACCGTAAACCGAAGCGCGGAATTTCATTTGAATCTTTCGACCCGTCCCCTCCTCCATTTTCCCGACCTCCTCCGCTCTCTTTCTCTTTCTTCCCCCCCCTCTCTCTCTCTCTTTCTCTTTCATCCCGCCGCCCTCTCCTAACCTGGTTTTTATTTCTTCCCAACTGGGAGAGGTAATGATGATATATCTCACATGAGAAACTCTACGGCCTGCGCACTCCTGGCGTCGTGCATTGCCGCATAATTTGAATTTTTTCGTACACTCGCTATCACACGCGTGTGCTTTATTATTTACTAGCTATACTTTCCGGACGACACTTTCCGGAAGAAATGCATCATGCCTAGATATAGCCACGTATCACGACCGTTCGCGGTGAAAAGATACGCTAGGAGAACAACGAGGCGTTGCGAGGTTAAACGAAGCTGCTACATCATGCGCGCTTGTGTGTTTCCATGTGACGTCGTGAAGTTGCCGCCGCGTAATTCGAGCGCTCGACCTTCGCTATTTACCGTTGCACCGTGTGACGTCACGCGTACATAACATCGAACATTAACATCGAATGATACTTTGGGAGAGCATTTCGCCCGCGGAGTGGCGAGAATTGGCGCAAACGACCGATTAATCAAGATTAATCACAATTGAGTCACTCACCGATTCGACGCCGATGCTGCGCTGTCTTCCTCTCGTCCATCGCTGTCTCCTTCTCGTCGACCGCTGCATCCGCCCGGCCACCTGCTGATTCTGTTTTTCATCACTCACTTATTCACTCATTGTTCGTCTGTCGTGCACTTGTCCATTGTTCTTTCACCACGCGGACACGAAACGATCGGAGAAACGCGGCTGATCGCGACCTCGCGCGGAAATCGACGCGTAATACGACGAGTGTCCGTCACTGTTAACCGCTTTCTCCGCGCGATGTCGTGAGACTGAACGGTAATGGCGTCCCGTGCACCGACATGAAGTTGTTTACAAGCTCAAAGGTTCTGTCCTACACTCGACACCAGACGTACACATTGCGCTAGTCCGACATATTCGGTGTTACGTTATGGCGTCGTAAGAAAAGCGAGGATCGGCATAAATAGATAAGCAGAACCGTAAGATGTTTTTCGATTGATCTGTCATCGGTGACCGTTCTCGACTCTATAACCACAAAACGTCTCTTCTGTTTACATTTGTGACGAGTCACTTTTTCAAGGTGGGAGCATTGAAAGTCATCCACGAGCGGCGATTAATTGCCAAGCAGCCATTCGCAATGTATTATTTAGACGAGAGCTCCGAAGCGGCGCGGCGCCGGCACCGCCCGCAAATAGGATGAAGCGAGCGGTGATCGAGTACCTCTATGCGTTTTCCGGGGGTGCCACGCAGACGGGTAGGTAGTTACATCCGTTTCAGAACCGGGAAAACATCCCCCTCAATGAGACGATGCGGTTACGTAGTTACTTCTCGCCCCGGCACTGTTCTCTTGGCTGTACTTACGTGTCCTGAACAGGTTACAAACGACGGGCGCGGTATTACAACCCGCAAATTACGCGTTCCACCCTCCTTCCGCCCGCTCCGGCTGCAACGCAAATGTGCCGGTCCGAGAATGGTGGATTACGCGCTCGACTGCGAGAGCTCGCGTCCTTCTCCACGACGGAGCGGTGTGTGAGATCAGTTGATGTCTTCGAGGCACACGTTCGGCCGGGACACATTGTTCGCCATTAGTAAACAGTCATCGTTCAAAACAATCTTGGAGATAGATTGAACGTTTCAAGAAAAAGCTGATGAATGAAAAAAGAGAGGTATGTAAAATTTGTGTTATTCCTAGAATAATTTTAGCACGTCAAAATTGGCTCATACATACGCACATCATATATATATATATATAAAGGGTATCCCAAAATTCACGCAAGAAGTAATTTTGATAGAAAACAGGTTTATAATTAAAAATTGTAAATTTTTTATTGATTCATAAAGTATAGGGTTATGTATGGAATAGCATATCGGGTAAATAGCCTCCATGGCTTTACTAGCACATATGTACTCTTTTGTTGAAATTTTCCATGACCGTTTTGCATAAATGTGGCTGAATTTCGTTGATACAGCGCTCAATTTCCTCCTTCAAGGCGTGGATGGTCGTGGGCTTGTTGGCATAAACCTTAGACTCCAAAAAATCCAAAGAAAAAAGCCCAACGGCGTTAAATCGCATGATCTGGGCGGCCAAATCTGATCACTAAAACGGGAAATTACACGACCAGAAAATAACTCATGCAGTAATTGAATTGTTTCTCGGGCTGTATGGCTGTAGTGGCGCCGTCTTGTTTTTTCGTTGGCAACACTTTACTGCACAAATGGCGCAAATTCAAAGCTTGCGTGAATTTTAGGACACCCTTTATATATATATATATATATATATATATATATATATATATACTTACTATGAATATATATATATATATATATATTCATAGTAAGAAAATAATATTTAAAACTAATAGCAAAGAGAATAATTTCTAAAATGTAAAACTTCGTAGATACTAGCCTGATTGTAATAATTGTGCAGTCGTAACAAGGATTTAAAAAGAATTCCGACCAAGTAAAAATTTGAGTGCCAGGGGCACGGAAAAACACGTAATCTCACGTGGAAAGTAAACGTCGTAACGGGGGAGTGCTTCTTTCGCTCATAAATTACAATATTCACGGACCACCCCCGTCGTTAAGCGAATGCACGTTTCCCGTCGTGCGAGCGAGCTGCGCGAAATTCATTTACGGAATTAATACCACGGATTTGCTAAACGAAGAATTACTGCGTGTCGCGTGTCCGCCTTAATTGCGCGAACAATAATATTTGCGTTGCGAGATCTGCTCTGCGAGTTTATACATTACTATTCTTTCACTTTTCAATTAGCGCAACCAGTAGTAATCAATTAGTGCAGAACCCCCTATTCTCTGTGCTTTCTCAAAATGTTGCCAATGCAACATATACTATCCTTAATGAGTTTTTCTGTTTGAAATTATGTATTTTTGCATCTTGAAGCGTTTGGTATACATCGGAATTGCATCGCTATAAAATTAATTAGAATTTCCAATTTGGACGAAAGGCACAGAATTGTAATTTAAAATATTTATAAGTTTTCAAACAATTTCGCAAACATATTTTTTGGAAAAGGCCCAAACTACTTTCACCGCAGCGATGATTTATATTTATATTACAAAGATATGTAAAAATTGTGAACAATATTCCTGCGAGGGATGAAAGAATCCTCCGTATGCAAAGATTTAATTTTCCGGAATGCTGGGCCCGCAGAATTCTACGCGCGTATCCAGAATCCTCATTTCGCCCTGAGGCGATCCTTTTCGCTTCCTCGGCCCGTAATAACGCGGCAGAAGGAGCCTGCGTATTACGTCGTTTGATTAATTAATTTACGCCGACGTTGCGCCGGATTACGACGCCCCGGGCTGGATTTTCTCGTCCTGTCTGCCTTAAATCTCGCGAAGAAACGAAGTAAACAAACGTTTCTCTTCGCTTTTCCAACTGCCGTTATGCACTTAATGGCATTAACATTAACCAGAACGACGGTTGTGCAGGCAAGCAGGTAATTGTATCGTGTAAATTCGCTAAACGACGAGACACCGTTGTTTCGCCAGAAATTCAATATACATACATTATTTTCCCCTCCAGAATGGGGTTTTTATTACTTGAAATATCTATAAAAACGCTGTCAACGTGTTCGTGTGACACATTGTGCCCCAAATGTCACAAATCTCATTTAAATCTCGTCTTTCGAGGTGACATTTGACAGTTAATGTCGCCAGAAAAAAGGATCGAATTGTAGCATGAAATTCGATGAAGAATCTTACCTTCTCACTCTTCATCATCCGTTGGTCTGGTTTTAGACGGCGGCAGGTTTCAGACAATTTCTTCGTTTTATCAAGATTGACGCGTCGTTAAATTTCTATGTGGCTTCTGTGACAATACTTGAAACGATTTCGCGAGCTTCTGAAGTGGAACGAAGAAAGAGAAGAATAAAAAGAGAGCGATTGAAGATCCAAAGGATCACGGTAAGAAAGACAAAGGAATCATCTCTGCTGTGTCGCTGAACACGACTCCTGAGATAACTATGAATAATCGAGGAGTAGAAAGAGGAGAGTCCGGGAGGAAGATGCGCGTGAGAAGATCGTTCACTTGGAGGAGTTATTTTCTCTGTGGAAAAGGAAGGAAGGTCACGCGCGCGAGGTGCGAGGATTCGAGCGTTGGTGGTTTTTGCTAGTGTGAGACTCGAAGGACGAGTTGCGTCCGCGATGCATCTTCGTGGCTGCGCCATATCTCACGCTGTGAGGTCTGCGAGTTCGCATTATCAGGGGAGTCTGTTAGTTTCGGTGAGGTGAGGCGAGGTAAAGATTTGTAGGGCGGTGAGAGATGCAGGAGTGTTCGGTGTTGCGCGTTGCCGTTACAAACGACGGCAACAACTGCAGTTGATACTAATCGAGGAAGTCGATGTTCTCCAGCAAGCTGCAATTAATGTTAATATCAGACGGAGTAATTGTGGCACGGGGCGAGGAGGGGCACGCGTATAGATTTGCATTCTGTAGAGGCGTGTTTTCGGTATTAAGTATTTATTACATACAAGCATTTTTTACAATATGAAGTATTTGTTTTTTTTTTAGACATGACTGATAATATTTAGCATTTTTTTTTTTCGTTATTGTATATTTAGAAACGCGCGTTGTCTCGTATTCTATTTTATTATTATTATTATTATTATTATTAATATTATTATGTATTCTTATAGAGTAGTTTTAATAGTTTCAACCAAATCTAATAGAAATAGTATAAGTGTACACGTGACGCAGGGATAATATGTGGTGTCTGAACGGTTAATAAATATATCTGTCGAAAAGAAGAACTAATAAATAAGTTTGATACACAATAACTCGTAACGAACGAGGCGGACTGCAATTCGTTACAGCATTAAAATTTTTACAAGACAAACACAGAGACGATTTCTCGTGGGAGAACGGACGATAAAACGTGTCAATAAATCTGTCACTTTGCACGGTTCTTCCGGTACTTTTTCGTCTTTTCTGTTTCTTCCCAACGATTCGGGATATTCTCGGTGCGTGAACAACGACTCGCGATGCAACATGCGCCTGTATAAACAAGCTCGCTAACAACTCTCGATAAAAATACATATCATTCATGAATGAGAAAATATATCGGTCATTCGCGAGCGGGAAAATCTTTCTCGACGCGTCCGAAAACAACGTTACAACGTTACGCAGCAGCGAACGTGAGAACATCTCGAATACAAATGGAAACGACGCCGACGAGAAAATCTCAGCTCGCATCACGTGCAGCTCAATAAACCCTTTACTGATTACGGGTAAAATGCGATTAAAGTAAAGAGCAGGAGGAAAGGGGGGAGGAGGATGAAACTTGCGTGCGCGTGTGGCGCAAACGTACGAGAGGAAAGTCGCATAACAAACAGTACATAAAGTCTATACACTATAATCCTATCCTTTCTCTAGTGTCGAAAATTAATTCTCTCGACCATGCGTCCCGAGTGAAATCGGGATAACAGAAATGTCTTCTTGCTTCACCGCTCACGTTACAAATAATCTGTCGTCGGTCCCCTATGAATCAGTACCCTAACGATGATATCGCGCAATCTGCGATAAGGCGTGCGTAAAGCAAAGCAAGCTACCGATATCCACGTCTGGTAGTATCTTGATGTCGCGATTACAGCTCTCGCACCTTTCGGCCTTGCGAAACATTACAGCGGTAGTATCCGGCTTTGCGCTCCGCATTCGCACCGTCGCGTCGGTCGTGATATCGCGAGCGATCGTCGTGCTTTCCCTTTGTCGAATACAGCGCGATTGATTTCGCGCGATCATTTGTAACATTTCTTCGCGTAACAACTCTTACAATTAACGCTACTCGATCGTCACACCGTTAACTTATGCAGCGGCTATCTCACAAAGCAATCGGCGTTCATCGTCGTCGTTATTATTTTCATCACCATCATCATCATCATCAACAACATCGTCATCATCGTCGTCGTCATCATCATCATCATCAACATCATCATCATCATCATCAACATCATCATCATCATCATCATCATCATCATCACAGCTAGAGAATTTATGTTAGATCCACGTACGAAGAAACGTAACAATAGTGACGTCTAGCAAACACCTAGAGTATACCAATGTTAAGTAGGCCCTCTAAACGATACACGAGAAAAAAAAAAAAAAAAAGGGAAAAAGGAGGAAGAAAAAATAGTAAGATTGCTTGACTAGTGAGCGCACGCCCCGAAATCTGGTATGGAAGAAAAATGTTTGTTCTTTCTCTGCCTGTTACTTTCCCCCATGCCGTAGCCGCAAAATATGTCTCTCTCTTTCTCTCGTTCACATTGGACGCGATCACGCGCTTGAATTCGACCATGGTGAAGTTGCTATTAGATAGTACTTTACGCTATTTCTTACGTTAGGGAGATTCTCCAATTCATCAGAGCTCGCCTCCTACGTCGTTTTGGCAGATACGTTTTTCAGAGTTTCATCTGATTTCGGTATCTTCGTTTTTATAGTTTTGTTTTTCTGTCTTGTGCTATATTATGCTCTTCGTTATTCATATTTTCTGTGTTTCGCGCGATTCTTGATACTTTCTATTTATTATCGCTATCCGATTAATGTCTGGAAAATTTCAATTGCTTACACGCGGGAGTGTGTATGCGCTTGTGGGGGATAAGAGAGAAAAACCGTATGTGTGTGTCTTTTTGCTGTGCGATTGCACGTTATGTACGTGTGTGAGCACGTGAGAAATTAAGTTCGATTCGTTACCGTAAAATACGTCCGTGTATCCGAAAATGATGTGTTTACAAACAGGCCTCATCCCTTTCCGAAAGTCCTTTAGAAATTTATATTAATCTAATAGCGTACTACGACACACAGATTGAGTGTCCACACTTGCTGTTGCATAATATTAATATAATTAACATTAGATATTATATATTACACTTCTTTTTTACCCGGTGATAATGCTCAGAGCTCGGCACGATCGTGGGCCCACGGATAGTCAGTCCGATATGCGGCGCCCTTCTCTCTCCACTGCATCTCTTTATATTTCCTCTACGTACACACGACACATATCGTGCGACAGCGATTATATTTACATTATCGTAAACGACTCGTCTCGTTCTGAGTATAGTTATTGCTCGCCATGAGCAATTTGGTTACTGATTACCGAACTGTTCCTCTTCTGCTCGTCCGGGAGAACGTTTCAGTGATACTTTATGACAAAAGATCTGCGGACAAAGAGAAAGAGAGAGAGGCGAATAGCGTTTAGCCCACTTTCCAATTAAGGTGTATCATGTGCCACTCTATTTAGTCACATGTAATGTATACAACTTGCTACATGCACACACACACACACACACACACACACACACACACACACACACAACACACACACACACACACACACACACACACACACACACACACACACACACACACACACACACACACACACACACACACATGGCCAACGAGCCGATAATCGATCCTTTTTGCTCCACGAGAAATTTACAGATAAAAAGTTGCAGGAGATTTACTCGTAGCTTTCTGTATGACATGACTAAAACGACTAGCGTGTTATTGTAAATATCAACCACTCACATACCTGGTACTTGATTGTTATCTTGCGGCTTGTTACTGATGAAATTGTCCTGGAACGGATTGACATTGGCGTTAGCGGCGGCGGGCATGAACGTATTGCCCATCGGGGTAAAAGGCATCGCCGTCGGGTTTAGATTGGAGTTGAGAGTATCCTCGTTCGCCAGATTGGGCGTCAGTTCGAGTATCGGCCCGGTATCGTAGCCGCTACTGTTATTACTCAGAGTGTCGAACTCCGACAGGTCTAACAGGTTGTTGGTCACGTTGTTTTGCTTGCTATAAAATCAGCCAAAGGAAAATATACAGAGACTAAGTTTAACAGCCAGACATACGTTAGGGACTACAACTTAAGCGACTAGTCACGACCACTAACACGGAATCGCCGACGCTAAGTTAGCTATAAGCCGATTGCGAGCGATTTCGTTAACGTATCTCCAGACAATCGAGTTTCACTAAAACGAAACAGGCTCGGAGTTTGTCGAACAGAAACATATGACGTCGCGATTCTCTTTCTCTAAATATACATCTAGAAGAAAAAAAGAAAACGACAATAAATGTCGTTAATAAATGAACAGTACGAAGCTAGAGAAATGTAACTAAATAACGTACGTATAAATATAACAAAGCGCTTATTATGCGTTTTAGTTGTTCTTTTGCACGTTCTATCGTACGACTGCTCCCCAATTTGCAGACTTTGATTGCCTCGAAAGGCGACTATTCTGATGTCTATCGTCTAACGGCTAATTGTAAGCGATCAAGATAGTCTGATAGAAATTATACTTTTATGCGTAGGCGGCACTAACCGAAATAGTTCACAACCTTTTGCGGTCCTTTGTGTGGTACCACGATTCAAATTTTTCGTTTATGTTTCCGGTCGGATCGAAAACAATCGGTATATTATAAAACATATTATTCCGTGGATGGATCGCAACAGGTTTTTGTTTAAGTAACAAGGTACTACGAGAGCAAATCGATTAAGTTGATATACACGTCAACAACTGTATAATCATAATAACCATAATTTGCTAGAACATATCACAGCAAAACAGCAAGTACGAATCTAATAAAAAATTGAATCACACTGAAAAACTCCACATAATTAATTCACTCTTCGGTGCTATCGTATATAAATCAAAATGTGTAAGAGAAAAAAGTTTTCATGTCGGCGTTTACTCCTCCCTCTGCTTTTTCTGTCTTATTTCTTTCTTTTTTGTTTTGCTCGACACGAATACCTTTCGTGTAGGATTTGTGGATGTGGAATGTATATGAAGAGAAAGATGTCTTCTGTGGAAAAGTACTGAAACAGTATTTCGTGGAAAAGTGTCGTAAAAACACGTAAAGGTACATAGCAAAAGTAGGCAGTAAAAGTTGACATATATATATACCCGCTCGATGATGGTATACAATATATACACAAGCATGAGGGACGTACGCAGACAATTATTGTGCAAGGAAGAAAACAAGCCACACCATATTAATGTTAACTGATAACATGCATTGGTGATTAGCAGAATTTGTTACGAAGATCAATCGCACTCACGGAATACACAACGGATCGATAAATGGAAAACACTTTTTTTCTTGTATCTAGTCAAAGGAAAGATCAGAGAAGTGTGCTCAGCGAAGATGATGATATCTCATTAGGTGTACGATATATATATATATATATGTAAAATACTCTCTGTTTCACGTACGATCGTATATCTCGTATAAAATATATACGGAGATATATTTCGCTCGTGTCATTGTGCCTTTCGTTCGTCGTAATCACCGTTTGTATGCTATTCTTTTCAATGTTGAAATTAGTCATCCTTGCTGAGCCGTTGTGTTGTGAAATTACAAAACGAAACGTTTCGATGAGTCTCATTAGATTTATGCTGTTTGTCTCTCTTTACATTATGTACACTGAGGTTTATTTGTCGTGAAATTTAGCGCTAAGTGTGTAATCCTGTTTAGTGGTTCTTAACGGTTTCATGCTTCATGTACGGTATTACATAACGTTCTTCCAACTCGTTGACATAACGTCTAAAGACAAATCGGAGTACATACGCGATTAATTCCCGATATCTTTGATAATTCTAGCTAAAAATAGTAATATTTGTCTCGTTAGTACACACACAGCTGAATATGGATTATAAAATATATGTGATAATTATCATAATAGGTGATGATACAATATACATTTCCATACCTGTACTTTTGTTATCATTGCAGTAGCGATAGTGTTTCGTGTGTGGAATTATTTGTTTGTGTTGGTTAATACGCTGATAATCGTGCAGCTAATCGTATCGGTGAATCGCAATGGCGTGTTTATTTATACTCGTCAACCTTGTTGCTCTGACTACTTTTGCAATGTACAACACATGTGGATTACTTGTAACATTTGCACGAAGCGAGTGAACGTCCGATAAAATTAAGTCGAATAGGCAGTTCGAAGCGATCCTCGGGAAAGCGCAGTAAACTTCGTTACTATATAACTATTTATAATGTGTACATACATATGTATACGTATATAACTCTCAAAACTTAATTAATTCATTTTAATAGTTTATCGACATTACAAGACATAGCTCAAACAACATAATTCATTATATACAGAGCCTTTGACACAGTATAAGGCCTCTAGGAATACATGTCTAAAGATTTTATATTCTGCCACAAATGAAAGTTTTAAATAATTGCCGTTCTAAATCACAAAATTTCTTTTATGCATGTACGAATTTAAAACTTGGGATAATCAATTTGTTCACGTAGTGCGACAATTGTTCGTTATTATTTAGAACCCTCATCGCTTCTATTTACAAATAAAATTATACAATATGCTTAATTTTAATGTAATGTGGCACATGGTTTTAAATCATACAGACTCTGTTTGAGAAGTTTGTGTATAGGAAAGATGCCGAAGTAATAGGTTTGATTTTCCTCTTGCCTTTCATAGCGCGGCGTAAATAATTTCTCTCTTCCTCCCTCTATATTACGTAAATATGTTTGAGTTTTACATGCAATATTTAAAAGTTGATCGTCTTATTGCAAATTACTTCAGCTGTCTTATACTGTATGATAATATATACGCTTTAGTTTTGCGACCGCCCAACTATACGGTCAATCATTGTTTTCGATTATGCTAGTAATCAGTCAATTTTAGACGAATAATATATTGGCTAGTATTGTGCAATTATTTATGTCCTGTAAAAATGTTAATTGCATGTAAACTGCACGTTGCATATTATCATCTACCTATGCTCCATATGATTATCCCTTTTCTTACCGATTAATTAAATACAATAGAAGAAAATTGTTCCAATGTATTTTTCATGCCACGTTTGTAACGTAATTTTGTAATTCCGCAACAAAACAATCGAAGAGCTGATAATTTCCAAAGCGTCTCCAGTCTATATTTTAGGAAGGTAGAAATTGTGTGTTACGAAAGCCATGTAAAGCTCATAAAATAAGCCCATAAGCGCACAATTTTCGTTCTCCAAAAAAACAGATTTCTGGCGACTTGAAAACGAGCTCTTTTTCTATTCAGTAATTCAATACTTATCTCTTCGATATATTTCGGTAATATATTTTCTTTTCAATGATACAAGCGTGAACGTTATCAATCTCGGTTTCTGAAGACACGTGTCGGGAATTATAACGTTACATATCATTATATTGTTACGTTCTTCGGCTTCGGTATGTACGTTGCAATGAGATACGCGTTTCCGAAGCGCGAGTCTCGCGATTACTACGATATTATTGTCCATCGATCTACCGAGAAGAGACGAGTCGTTTTCGGATCAGTTTCGTTATTGTTTGTGAAATTTTGATCATCGTGCTTTCTCGGCGGTCGACGAGCCGAGAAATATCTCCCTGTATATCGTGCGGTGAAGTCTAACACGTGTTTGCGAATCCGTGACTGAAGGATTGGCATACTTACACAGTGGCATTGTCCAGTGTAATCGACTGACTGTTGATACCGTTCCCGTGATTCGTGTGATGACCGTTCAATTCTCCTTCAACGTTACCCTGATTATTATCCAATACAATTTTACTTTCGTTAATGCCGTTGCTATGCGTGCCGTTGTGCACAATGTCCGGCGCGGCGTTGTTTTCCGCCTGATGCGCCCGCTGCTCACCACTAATGAACTGCTCAGTTGCTTCGGAAATTAAACTAGCTGTCATAACGTCATCACCTTTACCGCCCGGTACGGGTTTATTCTCGTCGCTAGGACTTTCTTCCTTCAACTTGTCGCCATCACCGGCCTCGCCCTGTGCAAAAAATTCCTCGTGCTCAATTATTTCTGCAATTCCTTTTTTTGATTTTTACTTTAGTTAGTACAAAATTCTCTCTCGCGATCGCGCAAATCTAAGCCTCGAGCGATTTCAATTCAGTCGCGAGATTCATCTTCAAGGTAGAATATTACCTTGGTAGGCGTGTTAGATTGATTTTTGCCTCTCGTCCTGAGCATAATCGCCTCGACTCGTTTGCGTCTAGCGTTGCGTTCCTGCTCCTCCTTCTTCAGCTTCTCCGACATTTCAATTCGTTGTCTGCAATTTAAATGTATGGATATCGCTTGTCACACAGTCCGCCGTGAATTTCCAGCGGTTATAAATGAGTCGAGAGAGCTCTCTCTCTCTCTCTCTCTCTCTCTCTCTCTCTCTCTCTCTCTCTCTCTCTCTCTCTCTCTCTCGAACTAACCTTTCCGCCTCCTCTCTCGCTTTACGCTCTGCTTCCTCCTTCTCCTGTTTCTGACGAGCTTCCTCTTCTCTTCTTCTTCTGTCTTCTTCTTCGCGACGTTTGGCTTCCTCGATCGCCACTTGCAGTCGCTGTTCCTCTGCCTCTCGAGCTTCATTAGCCAAGCGTAGAGTCTCCTCCTCCAGACGGCGTTGCTCCTCCTCCTCAGCGCGCAATCTTTCAGCTTCTAAGCGCGCTTCTTCCTCCTGCGGGAATTATCGCGCGTTTCGTAAATTAGCGGATTTATCAAGATCAAGATCGGTCTGACGATTGAATCGATTCGTGGAGATTATACCTTTCGCTGACGCTCAAGTTCCGCCTCTCGTTCCGCTTGTTCTCGCGCCAATCTTCTACGCTCGGCCAAAGCGGCTTTGGCCTCCTCCTCGGTGGTGATTCTGATCTTGGCGATCATCGAAGCTGCAAAGTGATCCGATGTTAATAAAAATGTTGACAATTATCAGGTATTAGCAGGTTAATAGCGCGAACTCGTGAAGAACAATCTCGTTCGGACAAATTGCCGTTCGAGCGTACCTGACATGTCGACTTGCTCGTCCATTTCGTTTTCGGACTTGACTTCAGTCGTCTCCGTCGGTTTCTTTTCTTGTTTGTTCTCCTCCTTTTTAGCGACTTTCGGCGGTTCCTCCGCAACTGTGCTCAACAGATTTTCTTGCAGCAGATTAGTCTCGTCCTTGACTTGTTTGCTCGCTGACACAGGCACGGTTTGTTCCTCTACTACCTTCGTATCTTCGATTACGGATTCGGCGATGTTCGATTCCTGTTGCTGTGATATTTTTGTGTTTAGGAAAATTGTACAAAAAGGAAACGGGAACGGGAAGATATTCTTCTCATCCCGAAGGTACAGGACAGTTGTTGGTCAGGTGCCAAGGGGAAATTTACCTGAATCTTCTCACTGCCCTGATCCTTCTTCTCTTCGTTCTTGTCCTCCTTCACATCCTTCACATCCTTCACATCCTGCGTATCCTGCTTGGCGTCATTCTGCTTTATTATCTCCACGGTGGACTCGCGGATGAGCGGTGCATGCTCAGCTCCGGGACTTTGCAGGGGAGTCGCTTTCGGGGTTATTCGCGGTGACGATTTGACATTCTTGATTAACTTCTCCGTCGGCTTCTTCACCTCCGTGGCTTTCGGTGTAGAAGGTTTCTTCGGAGTGCTATGGACCTTTGGCAGTGGTGGCTTTGAATCCTTCGTTAATTTCACATCGCCCACCAGATCTGCGGTAACGAGAACGATCGAGAGATATTTTCTCCGTTCGACTCGCGCTCGAATGCTCTCATACAGATATATACAGTATTTACATGTGCAATTTCAATAGTCGTTGTTAAAAAGTAATATGTACAAAACGACGAAAATATATCGAAAAAATAAAAACGAAAGAAAGAAAAGACAAGAGTCTTCACAAAAATTAATCTTAAAAAAGAAAAAAGTACAAAGAGAGGAAAAAAGGAAGAGAGAAGAAACGTCAAATGAGATAGAGTAGAAATGTCTTTGCAGTCGCAGGCTTCTTCTCAGACGTGTATCACGTGTGTATCACGAGCCCTTCCAGGACGACCGATCTCTAAATTACACGCGACAGACAAAACTGCGTCCACCCGTTATTCGATATCCCTCCTTCGAGTCGACATACCCCTTCCCTCCCCACAGATCTATCACGACCATCGCTGATCGCGCGCGCTCGTCATGAATCTTTCTTTCTTTGTTTTCAGTCTGCGGCTGCCCGCTGTGCTCTTTCTCTCTCACTCTCTCTCACTCTCTCTCTCTCTCTCTCTCTCTCTCTCTCTCTCTCTCTCTCTCTCTCTCTCTCTCTCCCCCCCTCTCTCTCTCTCTCTCCCTCTCTCTCTCCTCTCTCTCTCTCTCTCTCTCTCTCTCTCTCTCTCTCTCTCTCTCTCTCTCTCTCTCTCTCTCTCTCTCTCTCTCTCTCTCTCTCCACTCTCTCTCTCTCTCACTCTGTCTGGCGACCTGAAAGGGCCGGTACGAGGAGAAGTAAAATAGGCATGCTCACTGTGTTTCTCTGTGACCGAGACACCGGTACCGGCAATAGAAGCAGGCCGCGGTCGGCGCGACGCGGCCGTACGGGAACGCAGATTGACATTACTGCTGCCCACGCTGCTGGCGCTCTGCTGGCTCATGGAGCTGTGCGGTCGGGACGGGCTGTTGGGTGTCACTTCGCCGCTGCGGATACCTACGCGCACCCACCCAAGGTAAGCATCTGTTTGATCTCTGCGCTCACTACGACTGCTTTGTACGCGATCGCGGGGTCTCTATATCTCTGCGAGGGTCTCTCGATAGAAAAGTTACGGGCGGTGCGGGAACGCCGGCGGTTTACGGCGAGTTGTCGTGTTCGTGTCGTCGCTCGGTTCGCTGCGACGAGGCGCAAAGTGTGGCACAGGTGAACATCGGCAAGAAATCGTAAACGCAAGCACCGCCACCGGTGTTCGAGTGCAGTCTGGTGGTGTGTGGAGAATTCCAAATCATCGAAACGAGAGAATCAAGCGAAAATAAGAAAAGAAAAAAAAAAAAAAAGAAAAAAGAAAACAAGAGAAATCAGGCTTTTAATTGCGTAAAAGAGGAGAAAGTGGCACGTGAACGAACTAGAAAAATCGAACAGAGTGTGAATTATAACGTGTGGTGACGTGTGTTATTGCACACTAAATACGAGTGTATATAGTACTGGGTGAGGGGCGAGTTTTACGTGGCGATGTAACATGAAAATAAAGAAAACATGCTTAGCTTACCGAACGTTAGCTCATACCTTCACCCCCTTGGCACCGAAAAGCTCTGAGCTGAGAGGTCTTCCTTAGTAGGAGCGCTTTGTTAATCAATTTGGAGATCAAAGCTAAGAGTCAGTTGCGCCGCGATTCGTCCACGCTAGCAACAGCCAATTAACTTCTCTTCCTCTACATCGTCCTCGGATCTTTATCAACGAGGAATAAGGAAGCGTGCTCTGAGCGGAGTTAGCCGTTCGCTCAAAGCGAGCCACGTTCTCGGTGCAACTGACCCTTAATCGCAAAAGTGGCGAGAGAGCTTGACGCAGAATTCAATGTCCAAAAGTATATATAGGGAAAAAAAAAAAAAAACAAGAAATTCAGCGAGTTAGTCACCGTAGACAAGTGTGTGACGCACGTACAAGAGTAAAAGAGTGTAAATGAGAAAAGAATCATGATGAAGTTAATATTGTTGTCTGTGCGGCTCGCGAAATTAGAAGGAAGGAAACGCGACACTCCAAAGGGCAGAGGCCGCGTTTCCCTCCTGTGTCCGTTAGAACGAAATTGTCCGTCCGCTCCCACTTGATTTACAAAGACTCCTTTTTCACACTCATTCGTGCATGTGTGCACTCAACTCGGATCACATTGAGGTCCACTTGTCGCGGACGGTGTGAGTGCGGTCACGTACGTCATATATCTAATGCATGAAACGTGTATGCAACTTTTACGGTGACTCTCTTCCGTGAAGGATCGCTCCCGCCGGAGATCATCTAGCTCGATCTAGCTCGCACAGCTCGGTCGCGCGCTAAGCGGTACCGGTCCGCGGCTGTACAGAGCGGCATGGAGAAATTAGTGTACGCTAAGCGGAACGGACGATTAATTAGCCCGGAGAAAGTCGGCGTGCAAGAAGCACGCGAGCCGACCTCCGGGACAGCAAATTTACAGGGGATGCTATTAGCGAACAAAAAAAGAAAAAAAAGAAAAAGAAAAGATGAAGACGCGCGATCTACCGTAGAGCTACCGTAGAGCTACCGTAGAGCACAGCTATCGTCATCTACAAAATCAAAGAGAGAGAGATTTGCGGCCGTCGGTGTGAGAAAAAATGCAACACCAACCGGCCGGTATAATACCGTGAGCAGCCGAGACGAGGCTGAGGCACTTGAGGCTATGTACACAGGCTCCAGGGCGTCGCGAGTTGAGTGCACTGCATGCTCCCTTACCTTGCTGCTGCTGCTGTTGTTGAGCCTGCTGGTGCTCGCGCGCCTTGCGGCGTAGTCGCTCGGCGCGGGTAGGTCTCGGTATCGGCGCCGCGCCCGGCAGCGTGCCCATGCTACGCGAGTTGTCTGAACGTTTGAGACTTTTGACACCTCCGGGCGCGGCCAAGTGCGACATGCTGCGGCTCATGCTAGAAGCGCTCAGAGGCTGGCTTTGTTGCTGCTGCTGCTGCTGCTGCTGTTGCTGCTGCTGCTCGTGCTGGTGCTGCTGCTGTTCCGTCAGCGTGCCGAGCTGCTCGGTCGCGCGTTTCCGAGGCTGCGCCAGCTGGTCCAGCCTGGACATGGAGTAAGTCCTACCTGGCGAACGTGTGAAGGCCTTGGCGCTGGAGCTGCGCGCCGTCGACGGCGGGCCGTCACGCGGGGACGGTATCGTCGGCATGAGGTCGGTGCGCCTCCTGTTCACCCGCAGGTAAACCGAGCTGGGTGTGCTGGGTGTGGTGCCGTCGCTCTCCTCACCTGCAAAGAGTCTCGCTTAGAGTCGCCTGTTCTGCGAGCGACGCCGGGCGCAGCAGTCGATCCCGCCGCGCGGATAAACGCTCGCTACTAAATGGAGACGCAATCGAGCAGAGAGCTTCTTCCCGACACGCGATAACACGCGTCCGGAATTTCTTTCTTTTCTCCTTTCAGCTATTTCCTCGCGGTTGCTTGCTTTGCTTTTCATGCTGGCGTGTGGCGTGTGGATGGTGATGCGGATGGTACACTGAGAGAGTGAGAGAGATAAAGAGAAAAAGAGGTTCTTTGCTCGGGACCATGTTGCGTAAGTTGCGCAGGTGCGAATTCGCGTGGGTGTATTTAATTTCCTTTGTAAAGAGGCAACGAGGAATCGAGACGTGTTTCTTCTCGGTGAATATATTTGAGAGTATACTTCATCATCGCGCAGAGAGGCAGAGAAGAATATCTCTCTCAAACCGGCGGCTGACAAACATTGATCTCTCAGTGTACATAGGTCTCCGTGCAATTGAAGTGCATGTGACTGGTAATCTTGAAGCCGGGTGCCGCAGAAATCTGGCACGTGGACGGGTACGTTTTACGATGCGTTTCATCAACAAGCGAGCGTTATAAAAGCAGGGCAGCATTCGAGAATTCAATCGGAAGAGGAGTCTACTCATGCAAGCTTCATCCGTGACGCGCTTACACAAGAGTCTGCGCCGCACCAACGACATAATTGTAACAATCGAGATAAATTCTCAGTTTGTTCTGTGCAGCCGCGTCTTTTGCACAATTTGTTAAATTATTCTTTGTGCAACGCAGCAACCAGTTGTCAAGTGATTGTAAATTACGCAACTGCTAATGAGAGAAGTGACAGTCTAGTGTCTGGTACTGGTTACATGTATGAGATGGATGTATGATTTGATGAGACGATGAACGATGTGCAAAACGGAAAACCGAGCTGGTGAAGATCGACCGATCAGATCAGATTCGCGCTAACTAATTTAAAGCCCGCATGATTCCCAAGGCCCGGAAGGCCCTAGCTTCCGAGTACTTTCAGGAAATGACGAACTCGCTATCTCTTATGACGAGTGTTCCAAACGAGCGTCCAGCTGAACTTTCCAACGAATAACACCGAACTAGCAGCAAGACACGCTAAGATTCCACTTGGCCGACACACATTGCAACTAAACGGTCAACGGTTGTTACCAATCCATTCGTGTGTTAGTGATGAATTTAGTAGGGATCGTACGCTAGTCGGCAAACTAGTGAGCAATGACGACACACCGTTGCGCGATATTGGCTGGGACGGTCTCTCGGGAAATCGTAAAACTCACCCGACCAATAGCGCACAATCGCAAAGGAAACTCGCGGGAACTAATGGGGAGAAAGTGCGCGGAGGTTACGCTCTTACGGTGTTAAATGAACGCGACATGCGCCGGTACTGTGTAGTGAAGTATTAGTAAACAAAAGACATAATGACGCAGAACAAGAGAGATAGTAGAGGGAGAGAGAAAGATAAAAACAAACAAAAGAGGCAGAGAGGCAGGAAGAAAGATAGAGAAAGAGAGACTGCGGGGAGGGAGAGAGAGAGAGAGAGAGAGAGAGAGAGAGAGAGAGAGAGAGGGAGAGAGAGAGAGAGAGAGAGAGAGAGAGAGAGAGAGAGAGAGCGCAAGTGTGCTAACATAAACGAGAAACAATAGAGTCGACAATATCCATCATTCTTTCGAGGCGAACAAGAGGGGAACTCCTTCGAAACTCGCAGGCAGGTGTCTGAAACATCAGGACTCACCACTGGCAGCCCGCTGAATCATGGGACGCCGAGTGTCGCTATCGGATTTATCATCGACGGCAAAGATGTCGGTTGTGGGAGGTAGAGAGAGGCTGGCTCTCTTATGCTTGGCAGGAGTTAAAGGAGGATCGGGGCTAGAATTCCAATTGAACACCTCGTACATGGACGAGGACATTCTCATATCTGCGAACAAACCATTCAACGCAACACAAAAATATTAAGTTAACCCGCGAAAAACCTGGTAAATGAGACACATGGGAGGGATCGGACGATAAAAGACAGGGACGTGGGAGAGGAAAGTGTAAATATTAGCGTGAGTTAAATACAGTGCAGATCGCACGTGTTACCTCCGTGTTTGTCTTTTTACTTTTGCTTCCACAATGTTATACTTTTAGTTTCCAATACCAGTCTCTTTTTTTTTTTTCCAGTATCGCGTATTTGCGGAGCCACCACCAGTAAGTACAGATCGTAGCAGAAGGAAGGAATCCCGAGAAGAGAGCGAAAGAGAAAGAGAGAGGGAGAGATAAGGAGATCTAATCTCCTCGTGGCCAAAAAGTCAAAATGTTCGGCACTTAAAATTTCCTTCAGACGGTTTTCAAAATGCTGTTCCTTTGAGAGAAAAAAGAAAAGGAGAGCAAACATGTCTGCGTGGAGAGAAATGAATGAAGATGTGGCGCTCGCGAGTGGGTGAAGATGCTAACCGAGATATTTGTGTGCAGTGTAAGTAGACTAATAATAATAATAATAATAATAATAATAATAATAACAACAACAATAACAACAGAAAATAAATTAAAAGCGATTACACTCTGATTTATGTCGCGGCACTCTCGAGACGTTCGCACAAAACTCGCTGTATCAAGCTGAAAAAAATACGCATACATAGGTTCGGCAATCGTTTTAAAGGGACGCTGCCACGAGTGTGTACACAGAATAGAGGCTATAGAGAGTGCGTAAACCTGAAAGTAAAGAACCAAAAGTAAAAACTTACGCTACGCGCAAGGTCACGTTTACAGATCGTAGAAGTGCTGCACAATCGTTCTTTCATGCTTCGTGGTGTTGTCACACCGCGCGTGGTTTCGTGTACAAAAGCTTCGTGCGATCTACACGTGAAGCCGTTTCGAAGCCGATCATCGCTGATGATCCGTTTCAGCCGCGGCCGATGCCGCGGAGAGACGCGAGCTCTGATTTAATCGCAAAATAATTCCAGACAGTCCGATTCAAATCGTACACACGATTTCGCAGAAATAATTCAATGCATCGCCTATCGCCGACGGCGTGTACATCTCGTTCTCGACGATCGTGGATACGTTTGATCGAAAATATCACGGAACCATAAAAAATATTATTATAGACTAAGTAGGCGAGCCGGCAGCATTTTGCGGCGAGCATTCGCTGCGGGAAAATTCTGTTTACCGTGTGCACATGCCCCGCGATGAAGTTTTCCGCGTACGCTGTGTACACAGCGGATATCGATTGGCACTAAGAAAAATATACCGCTGTCAAAGGTATCGGAAGCGATCGTGTGTGAAGTGTGTGTGTGTGTGTGTGTGTCGTGTGCCGTGGGAGGATGTGCGAGCCGCTTCCTCGTCCCGTTTATCCCGGACGACGACGTCTCCGCGCGACATGCCGGCGATTAAACGACACCATCGGCACCGCGAATCCGCGAAACAGAAAGGAACGAACGATTGTAGGCCGATTGTAGAACGACAAGACATCAATCAATCAATACATGTGCCGAGCGCTCCAACAAATACGTACATAGTATGGTGGGGGGCAAGCAGGAAGGACGGGCTGTAATTCGCTGGTACGATTTATTCGCTATATACGGGCCGCATCGCGCAGATTTATTTTGCGTCTCGCGCGATTTACGGCTATCATCGGGCCGAGCGTATTCCTCCGCAGCCGAATAGCGTGAATTATTCGAGACTTCAACGCGCGCGATGGGACTGCTACCAAACTGCGCCGCTCGTTAATCGGTCGATGTGAATCGCGCATTCTCTGAAAATGTATGAAATAATAATCGCGAGAGACGTTAAGCCGCGAGAGGTACCAGCCGAGCTGTACATCCGACTGAAAGACGGCTCAGCTAATCAGGCTGACGTTAATCGGCGGCCGATGCTGCTCCCTCCCTTTCGGCCGTCGTGTCCGTCGCGCGGCGTACTCTCCGCATGCTTCACGTACGTTTCACGGCTTATACTCACGTTGAAGCACACCGGATCCACTTGCGAGCCGTTCGTCGTCGCTTCGACATTTACTGACCGAATTTACAGTGAACACTAATTTGCATTCTACCGGTGCACGGGGTGCGGCACATCAGCACGCGTGTATTATTCACTCTTCCCGCCCCCTCTCCCTCCCCCCCCCCGAGTGTGAGAGACAGGAAAGGCTTTAACGCTTTCAGCTGCTGCTCCGTCGCTTCATATTACATATACAGCACGTATATTGCATGAGACGCGCCTTACAGCCTCATCGCTCAATCTCTCTCGGAGGTAAATCAAGCACGGGGATGAAGAGAGAGAGAGAGAGAGAGGGGAGAGAGAGAGAGAGAGAGAGAGAGAGAGAAAGCGCGTGTGCTATTATTCACGGACACCACTTGCGTGTACTCCGGAGTGCGAACAAGAGTCTTATCGCGAAGAAGCTTCGAGAGCGAACTTCAGTCGAATTACCGGGCCGGGCTGTTGGAAAAATTTCACCATCGCGCGCGCACCAGCAATTGAACGAAATCGATACAAGAAAAGATCGATGCAGAACGCTTGCGAGGATCACAGACCGTATAGTCCGGTCTAGCCCGGAATCTAGCGGAGGCAGCTTCTCGGAGCAGCGGAGAATCGCGCTCGCAGGACTCTCTCGAGCCCAACATCGCGCGCTGTGAAAGTGTTAATCGGATTTCCATGTGCGATGTGCGGCGACGCTCGCGCGTCAACGACCATCCTCGAGCAGCCTCTCCACGGGGGTAGACTCGGCGGAAATGGCGGGTGATTCGATTCGCTACGCGAAGAAGAACTACTCTCGTGTTGACTGACCTTCTCCGGGCTTCCGGTCGAGTCCACCGGCGGAAGTGGCCCGCTTCTTGCTGCCGTCCAGCTCTCTCTCGGAGGATCTCCTGGTGAGCGGCTGCGCCGCGGAGAACATCATGACGTTGGTGGTGGAGGTGGCCCTGCGGGTGCCCCAGAAGGTGGAGCCGCCGGTGTCGGCGGGCTCCAGCATCCGCGGCGTGGAGCTGCCGAACGCGAAGACAATGTGCGATCTCTCGTTCTTCTTCTTCGCCTCGATGCGCGCCTCCCTCTCCTGGTTCTTCCGGAGGATAGCCTCCCGTCTTTCCCGTTCGGCCTCGCATATCAGCCGTTTTCTCTCCTCCACTTGGTTTCGTCTGCGCGAACAAGAGGCGTCAGCGGCGACGGAAGCGAATTGGCTCGGAGGTGAATTCGGAGCGATTCTTCGATTTTCAGGTCGCGATGCGGAACAATGCGAGAAGTCAATGATGGTGAATGGCAAGAGCGCGTTTTTCGGCATCTTTTTACGGGAGGGACACGACGAGTCGAGCGACAAAGTCCCTCGAGCGTTAGAGACGATCGCGAATCTCTCGGCGAGTCCGCCGCTTGAGCTAACAAACCTGTCGTTGTCACGCGATCTGAGCTCGTCGATGCGTCTTCGTCGCTCCTCCTCGCGCTGCTCCCGGAAGCGTTGCGCGGCGAGCGCCTGTTGCCTGAGCTCCTCCAACTTCCGCTGCCGCTCCTCGTTCTGTCTCTCGCGGACAAGCTTCGCCCTGTCCAACTCTTTCGAGCTTCCCGTCGAGTCGCGTCCTGCGAACAGCCACGCGAACGAGAGACGTTCAGTACTGCCCGTCTGCTCAAACCAGTTGCGAACGTTCAGTTTGCGCCAGTTATTCATCCCTCACGATCGATCGATTGATTGCTCGCGGTCACAGATAAGCGAAGCTTCTTTCTTGTCGAGTTCTTTACGAAGAGATTTTTCATCGCGCGTATCCCCGCGCGATTGCATGCAAAAAGTTGCGACAATTAAACATCTGAGTTACGGCGAAATTATACCGGCTGAAACCGAGAGCCGCGTGTTGAGAAAATATTCTATCGCGATCTATCGCGACGCGATTAAGTGATATTGAACGTAAATTATTAACTCAAACAAAAAGAAGAAAAAAATTGAGAAGAGAAGAGCGTGTACGAGCGTGTATGAGCGAACGGTCGAATAAAAATGTCAATCGATATTTGACGCGGATTAAAAATAAATTCCCCAAAAAGTAATAAGAAATAATAAAGTTTGAAAAATAACTTACTTGGTAAAAACAGGAATGGGTGGAGAGATAATCGGGAGAGGGACGAGGGGATGCAGACCTCATCACTACGATCATGTACTTGTAAATGTTTGAAGACACAGAAAAAGAGAAAGAGATTCTATGCAAGAACATCGAGATGATGGCAAAAGTAGCTATTTACACAATGTACAACAGTCCAAAAAGAAAACAGGATCAGATCCGGGGCATTTTACACGATAGAAGCGCGGTGCGTTCGTAACGTATATCCAGCGTGAACGAAGTTCCAAGAAGTCCGTCGGTTAATCGGACTTGCGCGATTAGATATCGAATTACGGTATGTCAAATGGTACGTGAACTGCCACCGTTGTCCGTTAAAACAAATGCAAATGTTAATAAAGTGTTAATAAAGAGGCGTCGAGGGCGCGTTGATTAGCGGCCGTCGAGACAAAAAGGGGAGAGAAAAGTCCAGTGATAAGGCGAAGGAGACAGTCTGTACAGTGCCCTTGTTGAAAACGTTGATACCTTCATTCTCGTAAGGACGATCGCCATCGAGGGAATCCTCATCGTAGAGACTTCGCCGGCGCTTCACATCTGCCGAGAAGAAAGCGAGACATGTGCGTGTGCACGTAAGATTCGAGTATTAAGAACGCAGCACGCGATATGCACGACGAGATGAATGAATGAATGAATGAATGAGTGAATTGTAAATGAACGGATGAATGAATGAATGAACGAACGAACGAACGCGTGTTACTGCGACATGCACCTGCAGTGTACGTGTGCATACGTGTGCACGTGCGATTAAGGGGAGGGGATTCGCATGCGACGTGTGATGGCTCGTGTTATTAATGCGGGGCTGAGGACGACAAGGAGCTACAAACGAGGAAAAATTAGTGCACGAGTGCAGGACGATGGTGGTTGTACAGTGGTGGAGGAAGGTTACGTCACGTGGCTGGTGATCACCGGAGCCTTCATCACAAGACCTCACTTGGTGAAATAATGAAAGGTTGACAGACACATACAGAGAGAGGTGGAAAATTGTGAAAACAGAAGTGGATCCATGCTAACACACTGCTGTTAGTTATCGTTCTCGAGGTAACGCAAAATTGTCCATTTTATTCGCGACGTCGAGACACTCGTCAGCACTTTGTTACATCACACGAGATTCTCCTCGCTGCTTTCCCGAGCGCGACAATATCCGCGGGAACTTAACGCGGTGCCGAAATTTCCACTTGGTTATCGTCGAGTTATCGACATCTCCATTTTCTCAAGCTTAATCTCATAATTCCGAGAGCTGCCTCTTTTCATCTCTCCGTGAAGGATAATTGGACCGCGCAAGAAGTGGCTGCGCGGCGGATAAATCTGTCGCCCTCTTCGGAAGACATTCGTTTCATGAGCGCGACGGAGAAACGAGGTTATCGTTTCCCGCGATGTACACAACGAGATCTTTCCTCAACCGAGCGCGATATTAAAAATGCGAGCCGCATTCGCCTGGAAAAGCTTTCGAGACGGCTGCGACCGAGAGAGAGAGAGAGAGAGAGAGAGAGAGAGAGAGAGAGCTGCGTGGTCGCGCGGTGAGAAGATTGCACGTCGCGTTTAGGTGGAACTTATTACGTGGATCGAGGGATAATATTACGCAGAACATTTCACACGTCCAGTATATAATCTCGTGGGAAGGAAATCCGACAAGGAGAAATTCTGATAAAGGAAATGCGAGGTACAACGTGATAAGGATTTACGCGAAGATATATCTCATACGGCGACGTAATCCGCTTAACATTTTTAGGACTGTACGCGCATGTAAAAAAGTCGTGGGCCATTTATAGGGCGGGAAACGCCCTTGTCGCTACAAATTGTTATGTTAAACATAAGATACACACACACACACACACACACACACACATTCAACTCACACGAGATCGATGCGCATCTTCCTAACAGCGTTTGTTAAATTCGCGAACGTTTAGCAAAAAGGGATTATCCGGTTCAAACCGGACACACCATATTAAGCATTAACACGCTAAACACGCATTCCGTTATACAATCGCAATAAATTACACGACTCGTTAATTTTGTTGCCCGTTGTTGCAGGGTGGATTCGTTTTTCATGACTTCCGTCCGCGGCAAATGGCGCGCATGTTGACCGAAAAATCAATGAAAACGTTTAACTTTGCTTTTGTGGAACAGTGAAACGGCAATCTCACAGAAGCGCTCGTCGCGCACGCGCGCGCGCACACACACACACACACACACACACGTGTGCGCACAAACACCTGTAATTGGGAGCTGCAACGAGCAATAACATTTTATGGCGCGCAGGTAGAAGAACAAATGTGTGTCGCGACCCATATTCCGAATCAGAGATATGGACGATTGTCCGTGTTTCACCCCGCATTTAGAGTTCATTAAATCCGACGACGTGTTCATTAAATCCGTGACGTGTTGTAAATAAAATTCGCGCCGGCATGAAATTTGTCGCGTCTCCTGTCTTAGACAGAGACGCGATCGCGGACGGATGCGCGCACAGCGCATTGATCCTTCCAACTTCATTATCGATATCCGATATCGATCGTCGCAAAGTACCGTAAATCGGAGAACGACTTACGGACATCGTCGCGTCGGGGGGCGTGTTAACGACTCGCCGACCACGCAAAGCATAAAAATATCTCCGGCGATAAAAGTGCAGCTCGAGATATTTCCTGTTAATTGAAACAACTTCGATAGAAGCGTGGAGGAGGAAAAATCAAGAAGGAGAGAAGCAGCTCCGCGATTCACGGCATTCCCGATTTCACGAGCGGTTACTTTCGGAAAGTTGCCCGAGTTGTCGCGTCCGCGCCTGTCGCCGGTTGTTAAAAAAGCACGACTCGACGTCTCGACGGTCGTCGCGGTGAGGTCGCGAGGGGGAAGGGACACGCGGATAAGTAACTCCGTGCGGATAAGTTTCGCAAAGCACACAGCCGACGCGCGATCGCCGCAGCGCCGCCGGAGCGGGTCGCCGATCGATCCGGCTGATCATACCTGGCAAAGCGAGTGCGTCGTCGTCGCCGACTCCGATCTGGGCGAACCAGTGCATCGTTTGCTCTGCGGAAGACAAATTCGAGGATGTACACACACTCTCCGCTCGGGAGCTCCGCCGCTCGCGCTCGCGCTCGCGCTCGCTCGCGACGCGACGAGTCGTCTCGCTCGCGCTCGTCGGCGATTAACGAGCAACAAAAGGCCGAGATATCGGAGCGTATTGTTGCAGATTGCGCGCGGCAGCTGCTCCCAGCCAATACTGTTTACCCAAAGATGTGCGCTTATCGCGCGCATTATACGCGATACCGCCGCTCAATCGACGGCATCAATCGGGCATCTCACGACGCGCGCTGTTGTTATTTCCCCTCGAGAGGTGTTTAAATTTAAATCCTTGGATATCCCTGAGGAGAGACGCGCGCCCCGCGCTCGTTGTTTTAATCAATCGCGCTGCGGCGCGTTTACGGCGTCTTTTTGTATCCCCTTCCCCCTCACCCTGCCCCCGCGTCTCGTAATTGAATTACATCCCATGATTGTTAGGTACGTCGTAATCGCGTTCATAGACGTATTATCACGACTATTTACGATTCAAGTAATTACACCGATTGTGAGTACGTGTCCTTTAAAGAGAGCAAGAAAGATAGAGCTCGTTTCACGGTAAATGAATTAAACGCGCACAGCTACGTGTACGTGAGCAAATGTATTTATCTCCGTAATGCAGCGCGCTGCTAATTAATAAATTTCTCTACGCTCGAAATTACATTTTCAACGGGTGACGAAATATCGATCGGTGTTACTCGTTATTTTCCATACAACACCGTCGGCGCCGAGAACATGCTCGTTCGCCATGCACAGATATTGCGTCAATCCGATAGCGGCCCCCCCCTCTCTCTCTCTCTCTCTCTCTCACTCTCATACTCGGTGCAATCTCTAATTGCAACGTGGCCGGCTTATTTTCGTCCTTCGTCGACGGCTCGTTTTCGACAAACGTCAATGGGGACGAGACCACAAAGCTGCCGATATTGTTTCCGGCCGCTGATTGCGAATGTCAGTTGCGGTAGGAAAGAAGGAAAGAAGGAAAGAACGCGGCGACGGGGAGAGAGCGGAGGCGATAGGCCTAGCAGCGGGCTGATGATAATTGGACATCTCATTAGCGATGCGAATGCGGTATCGAGCGAGAGCGAGAAAGAAGACGCGGGAATGCGGTATAAAAGGACGTTTTCGACGAATACTGCCGAATCACGTTCGCGAGCGCTGAGACGAGAAATCCGACGCACCGACGGACGCGCCAGCGACGCTGATTCTTCCGAATAACACGCAGCGGGTAATTGAAGAGTCGCGCTCCACTCCTCGTCGAAGATGGGAGGATGATTCTACATGGAAATCCGGTTGCACGCGAATGTAATTTGGAAGCAAGACTCGTATTGAATCAGCGGCGAAACTCGATACCCGATAAAGCGGCGTGTCCGAGTGGAGTGCTCGAAGAACAGGAACAGGAAGGACCGGAAACTGAGCAGCACGGAAAATCACACGGCTGCGTATTTCGCCCGATACGAGGGAAATTAATGGGCTCTGTGTGCTTCCAAATTCGCCCCCTCCCCCCCGGGTTCTCCCGGGATCTGGAATCTTATCGAGCTGCTAATCGACCGATTATTTTCTTACTGCTCGCCCTCGCGCGGCGAGAATCTTCCGCGCTTTCATCGACGAGTCAACGGCTACATGAACTGACGACAAAGGCAACAAAAGGTGGCCGGTGTTGCTTTCGGGTTGCTATCGAATAAGCGATATTAAGCTGTTACAGAATGAAGAATACCGCGCATCTATCTCACGCGACATGCAATCGTATTCTTTCAGATGAAAGCGACCGGAGAAAAACCCACCACAAAGAGCCGCGCGCGTCTCGGCTCTTCGCTCTTCCGCCCATTATCCCGATCAAAAAGATTCCTCTCCTCCGGCCGCGGAGAGTAAAGAACTTCAAAATACCGCGGGACAAAGATAATGGCGCACGTGGTCATTTCGCCCGCGCAGCAGCAGGAGCGACGAATCTTCCGCGCATCGACGCACAACGCGAGCCCCCCAAATTCACGCCCATCCATCTCTCTTTGAGAGCTGTCCTTCACGCGACATCGCCGTTAATTCAGCCCGTTTTGACGAACGGGGCGGAACAGCGGACATGGAAAAACTGCGCGCCGCGTTTAAATACAGCGCTCGCGTCCTCGGAAAATTGGAGCCAACAGGCAGATAAAAAAGGCGGTTCCACGGGGACACGTGGGACCACCAGGTGCGTGTCTTTACAATTCACCTGGAAACGACACGATCGATACATCGATGCGACGTACTGAATTCTTTTGAAATACAGCAAAATAGTGTCGCCGGTTAAGAAAAAAAAAAAAATAAAAAAAAAATTAGAAATGCAAAACGTCTCGGGTCGTATCTCGCCGTAGATCTGCCGAAAGCCTACGCACTTAAGCGAAACCTTGAAAAAAGCTGCTCGTTAACGAACGATGATTCTGGGGACTTTTATTCTCTTCCTTTCTTTTTTCATTCCGCGATAAGCATAGCGCGGGCGGTATTGTTTCACGCGGATGTTCGTTAGAATAGCCTCGCGGCGATATTTACAGCGGCGTGTCCGCAATTTCTCGACGCGCGGGGGATCGGCACACAATGAGGTAACCGAGACAATTTAACGAATAGGGCACACCGCGTCATCGCCGTCGCCCGAAGGGACGCGCTCTCGTTCGAGCCGGTGCATCACGCGGCTGCAGTCGCGCGCGACGCGGCCTCCGACAACGACGACGACGACGACGACGACGCCGTCGTCGTCGTCGTCGTCGTCGTCGTCGTCATCGTCGTCGCCGTCGTCGCCGTCGTCTTGAAGGCTCAAACGCTGGAAAATCCGCCGGTGGATACACACGGCTCTGTTAATCTCTCTTCGTCTGGAAGTGGGTCGGGAAACAATGGAATCCGCTGCTTCCATCTCTCGGTGGCATCGCCACGACGAAGGTTGCCCTACCAAGCCAGCCACCCACTCTCAGCCTCTCTCTCTCTCTCTCTCTCTCCTCGCTTCCCCGACTTTTCCTCTCGAGTCCTCCATTCATCCGTCCGGGCTGTTCTATCTCGACCACCTTGCTCGAGTGGCGGTGCAGAATGTTCGCGAGATACGCGCTGTTTTAAGGCGACTGGCTGATCTATGAGGAGGTGCTGATGCGCGATTCGCATAACGAAGTCCTCCTCCCCGCCGATCATCATCTCGCCGCCTTTCGTACTCGCTGACGCGACGACGATTGTCCCGAGCACCGGCGCGAGGATATTCGCACGAAGGACGCGTCCCTCTCGCGAGGAAACTCGTTATAGACAAAGTAACAATAACTGTTACTCTCAAGCGCAGAATCTCCACCACGTGGGCAAGTCCTTGTGACGCGCGCGCGCGCTTTCTTCGTGTTGTTTCTTACGAAGGAAGTTGCAGTTCTCGGTCGTTAACCATCGGCGCTCGATTATGCTGCACTTATCGGGATACGCTTCCAGGATATTCCACTTTTTTTCGATTTGACGATGAGGATCACCGTTAACGGCCCAAACTGTCCTTGTTTTTCCATCCCGTCTTTCCCCCTCAGGGTGCCAGTGTTCTACTAATATTTAACGAGCGAGCGTACTTCTTGCGCAGTGTGGAGAGCGATGTCGTTTACGCTTCGAATTTAAAATGTCGATAATTCTCCGACTTGTTCGGTTAAATGTAGGTTTTAAACGCTTTGTAAATATGTCGCCGGTTTTTATGCTGACGGCAGGAGGGAGCGACCGGGGAAAGTCACGCGCATGAGTGTTCTCTCTTCTCTGTGACGATATTTTCCCATGTCATTTCTCTCTCTCTCTCTCTCTCTCTCTCTCTCTCTCTCTCTCTCTCTCTCTCTCTCTCTCTCTCTCTCTCTCTTTCTTGTTTTACATTCTCTCACGTCGTAACACACACGCTCTAACACGGGCTACCTTATACTTTCATTTATGTGTAATTAAATTTACGTTAATATCTCATTGGATAAATTACAAGCCGTGGGCCGACTCGCATATAGCTTGCCAGTCGAGATTTAATTATATAAACAATCAGAAGGTATCTAATTGCACAATCACAAATGCGTGATAAATTATACATGTATCCTTCGTACGAATTAAATTTCCGACGTATCATTGTTGGCGGGCGCGCGCACGCGATTTTTCCAGCGCCCAGGCGCACAAGTTATTAAGAATTTCGTGGGCGCTTTTAACGGTTGATTAAACAGCGCAGAGCGGAATTGAAGCGTTATTGAATCCAGTCGCCGTTTCGCCGGCCGGCAGCGGGAGAATTGCATTCGTTATCTCCCACGACCCAGAAGTCGCACTTTGGATCCGTCGCGATTCGATAGCGTTCTAGCGATTCCACCTCGAATCGGAAAACAGTTACGCGGTTTTCCGCGCGCGCACGCGAGATTAATATCGTTATCCGCTGCGGAATATCGGTGACGTAGCAAGCCACAAAACGTTCCGAGCGGAAGCTCGCCCAAGATACGGAATTTATCCGGGGATATCTCGCGAACTCGCCTCGCGGTCGCCGGCGCCATTTCGTCGGACGATTTCCAGCGCGTTGGAAATTAACAGCGCGTGGGAAAATATCGCGGCAACTTTGCTCACGTTAAATGTGTTAAACCCTCACACATCGACGGAAAAGGGGGAAAAAAAAAAAAAGGAAAGTATAATAAACGATATCGATGCGCATTATGTCATGAAGTCGGTTAAGCGAGCGCAATCCATTTTCATTTTGATCACTTGCTCACAGCAGTCTGACTGAATAATATTATTCGATGATGAATAATGTAATAATATTGTAGCCGCTCAACGGCTGCCCTACTTCTTGTAGTATTTGAAAAATACACTGCGCTCTAAATGTCAAGCGCTTTCCCCGATTCTCCAATCCAAACCGAGCTGTCTGTATGTCCGCTATGTATGGTGTCACTATCTGTACTACAAATAGATATTCAAGCTGTGCTCTCAAGCGCCACAGAGACCTCGGTAGACACGGGTATTTATATGTGGTGTTAAAGACTATATCGCGCCCAAATCCGCCGTGCAAATGCCAAAAAGCTACCGTGAATGGGGTCACACTCTCACTACGGAGTGATGAAAAATTCTCGCGCGGACTGATGCTCTAGAATTTCGACGAAGTGGGAAACATCGAGATAGGCGGCTGAGAAAGAGAGAGAGAGAGAGAGAGAGAGAGAGAGAGGGGGGGGGGAGGGAGAAGATCTAGGCAAACTCAATTCTAGAGCACTAGTCATCTCCACCGAGCACACCGAATCACCGTCCACCCCGCGTTAACCTCATCAAATGTTAGGCATCGTTTGAAACGGTGGTCCGCAAATTAATCGCGTAACAGAATTAATAGTCATGAAATTCGAGCTTTGGCTATCGACAAAGTGCAGCCTCCGCCGCAGAGACGCGAGAGCAGAATTTCGCGATATTTCTTCTCTCGTCGCGTACGACGTCCCGCTGCAAATGTGTGTTATTAATATTTACCGAGGGCGTTGATACCACAGTAACGAGCGCGCGGAAACAGTCGCTCTCGAAGCGTCGCTCTAACTAGCATTAATGCGCGATCGAGTCGATTATTTATCCTTCGATAATCACGCGGCGATTCGCTTCGCTCGGTGGGGCTCAAACCGTGCCAAACGCGCGCTTTGTTGTAGCAAGCGGAAGTGTCCCGATATCTACGGCATTCGCCGAACTTACCCTTCGTGAGAGAGTGGCGATTGTGTGCAGAACTGGACCTTTGGTTAGTTTCCTCAGGAGCGGCTCCAGCTGCAAAACAACAAGGGTCCAGCATAAGACAACTTCCGGCGGCGCCGCGCGTGCTACACAAGCCGGGTAAAAATTTAATTAAAAGCGATCGACGTGCCCGACGACGACGACGACACGCGGTTTCGAGCAGTTTGAGCACCTTGCGCCGGCATTAGTATTCTACCAGCCCACATCCTTGCTCCTGCGGCACAACAGGCGCCCCGTCCCGGTGGAGCCTGAAGGGGCGATTTAATTAAAATCATCTGTTCCAGCATATTACGATAAAATTCTGGATTTAATCTCAGGTTATCGATTACGCAAATTGCGCCCACTGATTACACACAAGACGGAATATTACACACGTAAAGAACTCCCTTCATTAATACTTTGGAGACGCAGAGACGGTCCTTCGAGCCGGCGATATTGAATATCGCGGAAATCGAAAGCGGAAACGGACGCGTGCCTTCCCTAAAGCGCCTGCGTTTCCACTTTGTTTCACGTCTGTCACGAAGCGCTGGCAAGGCGAATTTCGCACGTAGTCTCGACGAAAAAAAAAAAAAAAAAAAAAATATATAAGGATACCGGCGGACCAGACGAGACACTCCCCCACGCAGGGAGCGCGAAGAAATCGTATTATGCCGACGAGTGAGGGTGAGGGGTGAGGGTTGCGTATCTGGCGCACGCTGTTCGCACGACACACATGCACCGCTGTGTAGAGATGCGGGTGGTTGAACTTCGACATTTCGCGCGCGGAGAGGGACTCTTCCTTCCCCATTACACCGGGAGACATTCACCGACTCAATTGGGTGGAACTCGGGCATGTGTTCGAGTTCGGTGAAAAGGTTCGATATGCGCGAGCTCATGTACTCGAATGAGCCGTATATCTTGAGCGCAATTCACTTCGCGACGCGGTGGATTTCGTTCTTATTTGTGCCCCGGCTATACCTGATTTCGCTAGAGGGAGCGAGAGAGAGAGAGAGAGAGAGGGGAGGGGGAGGGAGAGGAGTTGGCGAGGGTGACTAAAAGAGGCGAAGGCGTGTCATATTCTCGGGTAGCTCGCGTTATCCTCGGAAAATTGCTTCCAATCTGGGAGAGCTATTTTTCGATCGCGGAGGAGCGACGTTGTATTTTTAAAGATGGCAGACACACCTGCGCGAGAGTGTTACACAGACGTACGTGCGAAAACACAGCCGTGCGGTCGCAATGCGAATAAAACGCGGCACGCCTGTGGTATTCGCGTTTACGAGTAACTTAACGGACTTACTCGCGCGCTCCTCTTTTCCTCGACTAAAGCGCGTCGCAATTACGCTCGAGTGCGAGAGCGTTCTGGGACGTCGATAAAGAGTAATCTCTCTCGCGTGACGTTAATGTTGCTCGGGAGAAAAAGAGAGAGAGAGAGAGAGAGAGAGAGAGAGAGGGGCAGGAGGAGCAAGCGAGTTTCCTCCCGTTTCCTTTTTCATTCAGCCCGCTCGGAATCACCTCGGCGATGTAAAGAGCAAAATTATCCCCTCGCGTACTCGCGTCGAAGAAGCGACGAAGGCGAGTACTTAGATCCTAATTCCGCGGGATAGGATTTTAACGAAGAGCCGCGAATATATCGACTGCGGGAAGAGGATAATCTGAGTCGGCGGCGATTCTCGCCACCCCGTAGCGAGCGTGCCATCGCAGTTTAAAGCATCGGGCCGTGGATAATGACGTGGAACAACGTCGCGCGAGGACGTTAACGACGATAACGTTGGACGAAGGCCGCGACGAAGGAAAAGCTTTTTATCGCGTGTCGTCCTCGTTCTCCATCAACGGCAACGTTCACGCGCGTCGCAACCCCTCGGGGTAGAGGCTCTCCTTCGCTAAATTCGCGCTATTAAGACGTCGTCGTCCGGCGATAATGAGCAACGGGGAAAGGGAAAGAACAGAGGAGGAGAGTAAGAGAGAGAGAGAGAGAGAGAGAGAAAGAGAGAGGTTCGCTGATCAACGTCGACGGGACATAATTCCTGAAGTCGCGAGACGACGCGCGTCCTCGCGAGAGGAGACGCGAGACACGAGAGACGGAGAGCCGGGCGAGTTCCTTTGTGGAATTAAAGACGGACGTCGGACGGAAGGGAACACGTACTCTGGAAAGTGTCGCGGCGATTTGTCAGGGCTGAAAGGAGTCTGGTCGCTGAAAGAAGCGTCCAACTCCGAGGGCAGCTTTTAACCGCGTCCCGGAGTCGGGGCGGTTCATGCGAGGTACGTGTAATTGCAGGTCTCACACGTCGACTTCGCGAGGATGGCCCGGCGCATTTACCCTTTTTAATCTTGTCCCGCCGAGCGGCGGAGCAGAGCGAGAACGTGGAATTCTCACTCCCGATTTCATTCGCGATCGATTCGACCTCTGTTTGCGACACACACGCCGTGTCCGACGAGCCATTCATTCAGCGCGAGTTTCGCAATTTGCCAAGGCGCTTTAAGGCTCGCGAATGTGTTGGGAACTTATTCTGCTAATTCCCTGAAGCCTTCGCACAGCGCCCAGGGCGTAGCAAAGAGCTGGCAAAGGGCGCGTGAAGGGTCGGTGAAGACGAATCTCGTCCCGCTCGAAATGTCGAGACATTTCCGCATCTCGAGACTCGATTTTCCCGAGAGATTAAACCAGCCGACGGACGCGCGCGTGCGCCGAGACAGACCGCTTTTACGTGTCATCGAGAGCGAGCAAATGGAATCTCACGCCCTTTTTAGACACACCCGAAAGCCGCGAGAATGCACAGCCGGATAAAGTGGAAACGGCCGCGCGGGAATAAACATGAGCGCGTCTGCATAACGAGCGGTCTCTCGCTGCAGACCTCGCGCGGAGCGCGCGACGCCGTTAAATAATCACGCGATTTGCCGCGGCTGCCGGTGCGAGAATCGCGAACAAGCCGGCTGACTGCACCTGTTTGTGCAAAACGATGCTACGCGAGAGCACTCGCCCCGGCGAGGACCTCCGTGTAATTCAGCCGGCGAGGAGTTAAGGATCTTGTTAGGTCTCAGGATGAGCGCGACGCTGGCAAGGTCTTGACTTTAAGTGTATACAAAGTTGCTGAATAGCTCTCGAAATCTTACACAATGCTGACGCGTATCTCTGAATATATTGTGTTCATAAACACACACCGGAAGAGAGAATACGGTTCCTTTCGCATCTTCAACATTCTCCAAACAAATTCACGTGCGCTTTGACGATTCTACGTAGGAAACTCTGCCGGTTGCATTACACGCTTGCGCTTTAATTAGTCCCTCCACTCACCGCTCGAAAAAAATGGGAGTGAAAAAGTGCCCCGTTTTCCACCGAGAGATTCAGACTCGCCGGACGCATGGACAGACGAACACGGACGAACAGCGCGTAGAAGTGTCACCGCGGTGTGTGTGTGTGTGTGTGTGTGTCACGGCCAGAGCTGCGCGGAAGTCGGTTTCAACGGTTTTTAAATGGAGTCTTTTGTACTCACGCGCGAAGCGATCTCGCCCGCGAGGTGCTTTCGAGGCGTGCAACAATTCTTATCGCATCTCGGCGGCAGAGCGCGGAGTTACAGCCGGCTACTCCCGCCACCTCTCGCCTACTTACGGGGAAAAGCAGAGCGCGTTCATAAATTTTCGGGTATTCTCATGCAAAGTGAGCCGGTAAGACCAACGGCGCGATATGCGCACGTGCGGAAAACTTGTAACGGCGCGAATCTCATTTAACGCAATTTTGTAACTGCCAGCGATTGCGGGATCCAAGTAAGAACTTTGAGCGCGCGGGCGGTGTCGCCCGCGCGCTCCGACTGTATCATTAGGGGAAAGAATAGGAGGAAAAAATAGAACAATAAAAGGCAGGGAAGATTCCGTGGCAATTTCCAGGCCGGAGCGTTACGTGGTCGACTGCAGGAAGAAACTCGGTTTCTCGACGGACTTACGTAAGAAAGCCGCGAGCGAGCGAGCGAGCGAGCGGCCACGCTGCTGGCGAACAGGTCGATTTGCATAAAACCTCATCGCGGGCCGTGTATCGCTAACAAATCATCATCGACGGCGAGGATGCGGCTTTACCACGCGAATGAATTCTTCGCTTCGTTTGCTGAAGCTGTCGCGCGGCGCGCCGCTGGCCGGCGGGCGGATTCATTTGTAGGTCGTTACGAGGACTGATGATTACCTCGTCGCGCGCGTTGCGTATGCTCGAATGCACTTCAAGGTCCCGGCAGCAAACATCAGCAGCCGTTTAACTAGTCGGCAAATACACGCTAACGCGTTTAACGCGACAGTGGTCGTCGCTGTGTTGTCTTGTGTACACACGCCGCACGCTGCGCCGAAATACAAGGCGCGTGCGACTGAAATGCAAATTCGCGTCGAAAGCTCTCGCGAGCCGGTTTTTAACGTCCGGCGATTTGCTGGGAAAGAGCGAGAGAGGGAGGGAGGGAGAGAGAGAGAGAGAGAGAGAGAGAGAGAGAAGAAAAGAACGGGTAAAGAGCGCGCCGCGCTCTGATAGATTACCTGTGCATCTATATAGGGTTGCCAAATCCAAAAGTTAAAATTACCGGACATTTCTTCTTTGGTAACAAACCCAAAGCGGACTAAACCGGACAGAAATAATAATCATAACGTTACATTAAATACAGAATATGACAAAAATTTACTTACAATATTTGTAAAATTTCCAAACAATTTTATAAACAAGATTTGATTGAATAAAATAATAAACTATTACTTTTTAAATATTTTTTATACTTTTTTAATACGGAATAATGGATCGGCAGATCATCTACTAGATGGCTTTTCGTGGCGCTCGTAGGCGTTTGTAGGCGCTTGCGAAACGTAGAAACGTTGCTAAAATCTGAACTCTCATTCCATTGATTGGATATAACTTAAAAATCGGACGTCCGGTTTGACTTATTAACCGGACACTGGACAAGACTTCTGAAAACCTGACCCGAGTCCGGATCAAAAGCGCACAGTTGGCAACCCTATGTGCTGCATCCCGCGGGCGCGAGTTCTGTTGGATCAATTGCGCTAACAAGCGCGCAAACGCGCGTCTCTCGCAA